GCTTCAAATCCTCATTGGTTAGTTGTTGTTACCAATATCGTAAATATCAGGCAAATCAACGTGGCCTGATAACATGTAAACATCTGATAGCCATAAAGGAGTTGAAGAAGAACAAAGACATAGTCATATGCAAGTCGGATAAAGGTAGTGGTATAGTTATAATGGATAGAAGTGATTACACTTCAAAAATGAACCAGATTCTAAACGACCAAACAAAGTTTTCTGTAAAAGTGGGCGAGAAGGACCAAACGCTTTCCGTTGTACCAAGCGTTGCTCACGGATTTTAGTGGCATAGTGTTTGTTACATCAGCCATGAACCACTAGGCTCTGATTTCCATCCCAACTCAGGCTATCTCCACCTGATGAGTCCAAACCAGGACGAAACCACGGTCGTGGGGTGCCAGTGTTGGGATGAGCAACACCAAAATATTTCCATAACACCCTATCCACTTAAACTCAATCGCCCCAAATCACCACAGTATTCTTTTTGCATTCCACCACCCTCTCATCCCGATAGGACTGGCCAATCTCACAGTAAGGGATTCGCTGCGGAAGGCTCTAGAACTAATGTGATTGCAAGACTAAATACTGGGTGAAATGATGAACACTGCCAGGATATTTTAAGACTGATGATACTTAATGTCCGTTCTCCGTTAAATAAATTTTACTTACTCCGCACTTTCATATGTCTGAATAAATCCGATATGATTTTACTCATTGAAACCTAGTGTCATGATTCTATGTCCAGCCAGATGCTTTCTATCGAAGGTTACAAGCTTACTAGAAGTGATCGAAAGCAAGGCAGAGGAGGTGGTTGCATAATTTACCACTCACAGAACCTCTTGTGTCTGAATGCACACTTCCACTTATATACTCCACTATTGATTCCGCTTGGTTACTCTTGTCCTTCAGTACCAAGCGAACTCTTGTATGCTGTATATACCGCTCACCCGGAGTCAGCTTCAGTGATGAGAACCAGTTGGTTGACTCTTTCAGATACATATCGGAACTTGGTTCTTTTTATAAAGTTGTAGGTGGAAATTTCAACCTACCAGATATCCGTTGGTCAAACTTAGTAACAAACGCGAAACATGCTGAGTTCATAACCTCCGTCATCCCCGGTGGTTGGGAGCAACATGTTCTCGTGGCTACTAGCGTAAAAAATATACCAGACCTACTTTTTACCTCAGGCACCTCCCAGATAGCTACTGATGTAATTGACGGTCTCCCTGGATGTGATCACAAAATAGTCAGATGTAAAATTATAGCTGAGTCGTCGTATGTGTGGTTTGCAGTGGTTCCACACTTCCTGCAAAATGTTAATCGGGTAGATTTCTCTGCTTCGCTAAGGGTCCAAAATTGGGGCCATTTCCTTCTTTCGTCTGACAATAAGGGAGCCTTTGGCATCTATGACAATGTGACTATGTGTTTAAGCATACTTGCCTTCCGTGATAATACGTGAGCCTTTTCTAAGTACGCTAACAACGCAAAGAACAATCGGAAAATACGAGTGCTAACTCGAACATATGAACGTACTCACGACTGCAGCGTGTTACTGAGACTCCAACGCCTTATAATAGAGACGGAGGTGAAACACCACACCCGTCTCATGCAAGAAGAACAACGGGCTGTAAATAGTAGTAATATAAGTCAACTGGTGACTGCATTATTGAGAAAAAGGTGAGGCGGCGAAACTGACCTACCCTCCCACATCATCATGCCTGAAGGCAAATGCATTGATTCCTCAATTGCCATGGCAGAAGCCTTTAACTCATACTTTGCTAGATCCTTTAATCCTGAAAAGAAACCCTGGAATTATCAACCTTGTTTCACTTCGCTGAACAAGTCTCAGCGATCGAGCTTAGTGTCGCTACGATAAAACGCATGGTTACCTGTCTACGACCATCCTACAGACCTAGCCCCGATGGGATCACCGCTGTTTTAGTCAAACACGGTGGAGATGGTATCCCTCTCATATTATTAAATATCTCTTTGTCTCTCCAGTCTGGCCAATATCCCTGACGTTGGAAAACGGCTAGGGTTATACCGCGACATTAGTCCGGGTTGAAAATTGACATCCGGAACTACCGCCACATTAGTCACAGCCATTCTCTCACGCATGCTAGAAAGAATTGTTAAGGAACATTTGGTTTCGTTCCTAATATCGCAAACTTTTCTCACCTTCACAGCATGGTTTTCTGAAGTCCCGCTCGTGTGTTACCTGTCAAGTTGACTTCCTTAACCATTTAACTGAAGCAATTGACTCAGGTCCTTAGTACATTGTCATCTTCCTTGACATGCAAAAGGCGTTTGAAAGAGTCGCACACAAAAAGTTGCTATATAAATTAAGTAAGTACAGTGTTACAAATCCACCTAACTCTTGGATTAAATCGGACCTAGTAGGACGGGCGCAAGTTGTGGATATCAATGGTTATATATCTTCACCTCGTCTGGTTACCAGTGGAGTGGTAAAGAGCAGTAGCGTAGGTCCGTTACTCTTCCTACGGTATATAAATGACCTCATTGTTACATAATTTGAGAAGCCTTATTTGTTTGATGATGATCTAAAGGTGGTTTACACGTTCCCAGCGTACCGCTGAACTTAACAATATTCAAAGCGACTTGAAAGCCATCGAGAGATGGGCTGATATGTGGCAGATGACGTTTACAACATCGAAGTGTAGTATTCTAGCGTACAGATGTCAGATAGCAGCAGAATTGTTCAGGCTTCATGACGAAGTCATTCCCATCAGCCAGTATGTTAGTGACAGATTTAAGATGTTCTAGTTTGTTAAACTTTAGCGAACATACAAATCATATCGTGAAAAAGACTAAGCAGTTGGTTGGACTCATATGCCACCTACTAATCTTGAAAGAAACCAGACTAATTGCTTTCAAAATCAGTATCAGGCCATTGCCTGAATATTGCTATCACGTTCAGTAGCTTGGGAAAGGGTGACTTCAGAGCCACTGGAAATGTCCAACGCGCCTTTACGAAACGCATAGTTAGCTATTCAAACGCTCTTTCATACAGAGATAGGTGCAAGCTGTTGAATCTTGAACCTCTGGTTACGAAGAAGGCAATTAAATCTGTGCTTCCTCCACAAACTCGCGTGGCGAATAGCATATGTTGGAACTTATCAATTGCACTTTGGGGATAATACCATTTACGAACTACGAGATAGTGATTGTATACTCTATTTAACTACATTCAAGACCAACCTAAGGAGAAATTTCTGCCTTCTTAGGTACGGCTCCATATGGAATAAGCTTCCAAGAGATTAGACGTATTGGACATCTTTAAATACTCAAGAAAATGATAAAGTTGTATCTGTCAACGGACAGAGTGAAATGCATCTTAAAAATTCAACTTGATGAAAAGCTATATGAAGAAGGGCCGGGTCATGTTTGATACCCGAGAACATCGACTCGAAATATACCTAACAAATGCACCAGAGCAAACATGATCATCTAGGATTATCTGTTACAAACCGCTTCTTATGCTATTCTTTAACGCTACATCCTATGCGGTTTTACTCCTTTCAAACTTAATTCATACCAACTGTCCTCTGCTTAAAACCGAGAGCGAAATTACTTACTGGTGTGGGAACTATTTTCGTAATTTTCCACACAAATTGATCAATTCGTAATTTTGTTCTGCGACCCCCTTCGCCACATTTGTTCTGCGGTGCTAATCATTTCCCCTCCTTTTCTGGAGTTGACAGTCCAAAAACATATACTTGAATTCAGGGATGACAATAACGGATTCTCTATGTGACTTGCCTAAGCACAACTCGTACAGTTATCTGTCTCCGGCTGTCACACCACACAATTTGATCGTATGATCGGCTCGAACCATTTTTATGCGGAGGTAAAAACACCTGCATATTTTTTTAAACTGACGATATAGTACCTCTTCCACATAATTCTTTTCTACATTCTTCCTTATTTCATTGTTGGCCACGACTGGGTTGATCTCCTGTGGTGACGGATTATAACTTCCAGACTATAAGACTACCTATGCAAGGCACATTGCAACAAATGGACTGGCGTATAAAAAAGTGCCATAATTGTAAGATTCGCATGACGGACTGGGCTAAGGATTCATCGCTCATAATACACGTATAAAAGTAGCTCTAAAAACACCACATGATAAACAGGTGAGGGCTCATATGCTACTATGCCACACCGGCACGCGGCCAGGTATAGCATGGAAGTGCGGGCAAAACCATACGAGGGAATACCTAGCATAGAAGCAGATTCCCTAGGGACGGTTCCACGAGTGGCCGTATTACTGTAACTGGACATTTGTTTAAATATGCATGCTATTGTTCCTAGTTTTTAATTTCTTTAATACCTTATTCCTTCCAATTACTTTAATACCCGTTTTGGATCTATTGTAAAAAGCGTGAACAAATTGATTAGTTTTTGCGATCGTGTTGTACACATTGATCAGAGCACATAGTTAGACTGCACCTCGAATCACCAAGGAATATGCCATGCATTTATTTATTGATGCTTAAGCTAAAGTTTATACCCCAGTAGCTGGTCGGATGCAACAAATTCAAACAAGTCGGAGGGCTTGATCCCGCTGAGGCTCTTCATAGCATTTAAGGTTTCTATGGGATCATCTCGTACCCTGCGCCGCTCCAAAGAGAATAATGCTAGGCCTCTTAGGCGTTTTTCGTATGGCTTTTCGCTTTGGCTCTCGAGCATTCTAGTCGCCAGTTGTTGGACTTTTTCTATGCAGAGCACATTCTTCTTGAGATACGGCGCCCATGCCTGCATACAGTACTATAGGTGTGGTCATACCAGCGCCTTATATAATGGGAGGAAAATCCCTGGCTTAGTGTTGCATGTGCTTTGGGGCATAACTGGACAGATCACGCTACTTTTCATACGTTTATTATTTGTGAGTGAGCAAAAAAATGCTTAATTGGGACGACATGCAACCCATCTATGCGTACAGGGTGGTGTAGCATAAAAATGCATGTACTCACCCTTGGTGTTGCATGGTTATCCTATCTTTTGGCATGTGGACATTAACAACAGGCCCGGCTTGCAGAAATAGCTCCCAAAGTATAGACTCTGTGGTCTTTTCATCCAGACCGCCAACGTAAATGGTCGCATCCTGGTTACGTTCCTCAACACCGCCAACCGTCATGTTTTTCTTACTGACCTTCAAAGTGACCTCGAGGTCACAGATATGCAGGAGAGGTGAAATAGTACCATAGTATCACGTTCAGTATATGAAAGTTCATGTAGGACAGAAGCATTGGAATAATCCCGTTGAATATGCTTTCCCTTGCTAATGAGCGTGTTAGCTCAGGGCCTTCAGGTCAGATCTCGTCAGATCAAGTCTTCAGGGACGAAGCAAGCCTTCGCCTGACGGTCTTCCGTTTCTAAGGCTATGTTCAGCCTTCTAGGGGGGAGCTCTGAAGCGCCCAAACAGATAACAGCTACCTCTCACGTACGATTTAATTGTTGAACAATTGTTAGTTATTCATTGTTTTAATCTTCCTTACAGCCGGCTTGACTCGACCGTGTTGTAAGTTTCGTGCTCACGTGTTCGCTGTTGTCTCGCTTCATCCGTCCGCGTATTCTTGCAGCCCATCTAATACCGTCCTCTGTGTCCGACTCCAATTAACTGATATCCACGCTTAATTTCTCGCACCGTATCTTACTAGTATTAACCAGTCCTACATGTTAGACCGGGATTCTAACCAAACACTTGTGGACATAATTTGGTGGGGGTGGTATGGTAAGCTAAGCTAAAATTGAACTACGTCGCTTATTAAGGTTGGAAAGGGTATATTGAAGAGTTTCATGAGGATTTAGTGTCTGTGGCTATATTAAAGGTTGTGAAGATTGACACTGCTGTTGTTATTGGAGGTGTTTGTGAGTAGTGTAAAGTTCGAAGAAAGTAGAAGCCACGATTAAAATTCACGCACAATAATATGCCTCGACGGGGAGTCGAACCCCGGTCCACGAATTTCCGGTCCGTTGCTCTACCATCTGAGCTACCGAGGGCTGACGATTAGGTGCGCAAATTTTAACACACGTCTTCTGCTTGGTGCGCGACGTGTTGCCAATAAGCAATTGACCGGAAATTCGTGGACCGGGGTTCGACTCCCCGTCGAGGCATATTAATGTGCGTGAATTTTAATCGTGGCTTCTACTTTCTTCGAACTTTACACTACTCACAAACACCTCCAATAATCTATCATCGCCCATCGGACGTCTGAAGGACAGGAACTTCGGTCTATTGGGAAGTGACGGGTGAGTGAGCCAATCTGCAACATCAGGACAGGTACTGTGAGCTTATTGGCAACACGTCGCGCACCAAGCAGAAGACATGTGTTAAAATTTGCGCACCTAATCGTCAGCCTTCGGTAGCTCAGGTGGTAGAGCAACGGACCGGAAATTCGTGGACCGGGGTTCGACTGCTGTCGTGGTTCAAGTGGATAACGAAGTGCAGCTATGAACCGTGGCGCGTCATTGAAAGCTGTCATTGCAGCACATTACAAAGCGTTTGGTTGCCGATTAAAACTGCTTTTTGTAGAGCAACTGGCACACAAATTCCGAAGCGACCAGTAAAGGCAACAGAAAGTCGAGAATTTCACGGAAAGCCATTGTTGGTTGACCCACTCTTCCTTCACTCGGTTTCCCCTGAGGTGACCTTAACTGTAACCTGACTACTCGTTTTCTGCCGCGCACTACTGTTCCCCGTTTTTCTCGTCTGTGAGGACGTGTGTTCCCTCTGTTTCTGTTGACGTTATTTTCTTCGTAATCGTTCCTTCTTTCCACCACCGCCGTGGAACCAAACCTACTGGTATTTGATTCCCATTTGCTTGTGCGCTCACACTTACGCCTCGACGCCTATTACAGGCATCATGATGGACGAGCTTCCTACGTTCTTTCCTTTGGGGATGTTTTATTCGCAAAATTTTGCGGACATGGAACAGGATGTGAAGAAATTTCAGCAGGTTACTGCGACTCCATTTTATATGCCGTCAGTGGTTATTCGAAAGCGGTAAAAACGGATGACGGGGAAGGATGTATCTGAAGGGCATTAAGTTCTGTGAGTTCGTTGAACGGTAGGGAGCAGCATTGAGGTCCCCTGTCTGCTCTTCTGCTTCCCGGGCTTCCAAGGATTGCAGGCGTACTAGCTTTGTCATCGCTCAGGATGTAGTATCAGTCCTGTAGAATCCTGGAATACTCAGTAGGAAGATGTCTAGCAAACCTTTAAAACGCGCTTCTGACTGCGCAATGACAATCAGGTCCGACATTCGTTTTCAGTCATTAATTGCTCGACTAGAGAGAGCAACAGCTGAGCGGACTTTGAACCACCTCTGTTTAGACAGCCGCCAGCCGTGACCTCACGTCGAATGGCCAAATCTTAGCTGACAACCTGCCACAGCTCGTTTCCCAGTTCTCTTCGTAGGATACGCCTAGTATAGATGAGGTCTCCGCGACATCGGCGATAGCCTAAGTGAAAGAGGTTCATCCTCTCTAGTCGGGCGGGGTATGGGAGTTCGCTCAGCCTAAGTACATATTTCGAGACATGTCGCTGAATTTTTCTATATTGTTAATTTCACGCTTCGATAGAGGGGCTATGACCGGAAATCCAACTTCAAGTATGGGACGGAAGTGGGAGGTGAAGAGAAAGCTAAATATCTGATGCGTCCTTTTCGAATGATCTCCTTATGACACTCTACGTACTGTTCGCCGCAGCTTGTTTAATGTATCAGGGGTAGTTTTGAGTTCAGTGGACGCTATGGTCCCCAGGTCCTTTTCTTGTGTGGCAACCTTGAGTAGGTGCCCACCAATGTGATAGATGTCCAGTGGGTCAGCAACACCCATGGAAAGAACAGAGAACTTATCTTTCTTGACAGGCAAACCCCATTTTATATATCGAGTGTAGTAGATCAAGCGTTTCCTGTAAATGGTCGGCGTCTTCGAGGCTGGTCACTTCGGACCATGTCTTAGGGTCGTCTGCATAGGTCAGGCAGTCAGTTTATAGCATAGTTGGTAGGCCATTGATATATACCTTGAACCGTTCCGGCCCGAGAACGGAGCCTTGTGGTACACTACTGTACATGGGCACTTGAGATGAAAGGGTATGGTTCACCTTGTCTTGCATGTTCCGGCCTTGCAAGCAATCACTGGTCCATAGTGTGAGGTTCCCTGTTATGCTAATGCCGCAGAGCTTAGAGAGTAGTTCTTGATGTGAGCCTGTGCAGAAAGCTTTGTTGAAGTTGATGAAGACCACATCTAAACGCTTTCCAGTGTCCATTGATTTAGTCCACTTCTCTCTAGCCACCAGCAGGTTAGTGATGCAGGAATGTCCCCCGGCAGCCATGCTGAGTAGAAGAAAGTGAAGAGCAGGTCTTTGCAGTCTCAGGGGATGGCACGTCTGATGAGCCTTACCAGTGTGTACCTGGTAATAGGGGCAAAGCTCGTGCTAAAATGACCAAATAATTAAAGGATGCTGGACTGCAAAGCAAGGTTTTTCTTCGTCTCCTGGGGTGCTTATTTTGGGCGTGGTAAAGTGGACCTGGGCATAATAACGATTTCAGTTGGGTAATTCGTGGCTGTATTCCAGGAGTTATCATTTGACGGAAGCTTAGTAGCAAGCGGCTGTGAGCCTTATGTCAATGGTTAAAACTATCCGCGAGAGTCGTAGGTACCTGAACCGGAAGCATGGGCGAGTGTTGACGGTGGACGACACAAAGACGGTGACATGGCGTCACCGTAAGCAGCAGACGGAAGAGGTGTGCGAGATGACGGATTTGCTGGAGAAGGATAGCGCAGGTCGGGTAGTGAGAGAGGGCACCGTGGTTAAATATGTATTTGTCGTGCCGTCTTGCATGAAATCCAAAGCTGCGCGGTATTGTGTGGTGTTGTTAGTTGATGTAACGCACCAATTGAACTATGGCGGCTATATACGGTGGCAATGTATGGTAATAGCTGAAACGGGAATTGCGTATTCATTTGTTTACGCGTCTTTGCCAAATGCGACGGCGCAGAGCTACACACTGGCGGTGGAAGCTATGAAGGATGTGTTGTCTTGCACACTGTCGGTGCACACTGTTGTTATGGACAAGTTCACAGCACAAGCTGGCGCGCTGACGTCCGCCTAGCCCCACGCGGCGGTTGTGTTTTGCCGTTTTCACGTTAAGAGGAATATGTACCGACATTGTGCACAGCTTGCTGGTCTGGGTCCAGGTGTGAGGAAGTTCCCGTGTCAGTGGCTGATGGTTTTGATTTACCCACTTGCTAGGGGACATTTCAGCAGGATTCTGAGATGGAATGTAGGCGAGAGTGCGGAATTAAACCAGCACGCGCGACGTACAGGGTCTCCATGGGCATGCTCATGGGGGCTTGTCGTCCGCGTGCGGTAGTTTTGCTCGGTTGCGCAACAACGAACAGAGTGGAGAATGAAAATAGACATCTGAAGAAAGAGTTGACAGAGCAATGGTCCCAGAGATCGTTATTCACTGTGCTTGTTGAGAGAGTTACTTCGTGGATGCAAGGCTGGCAAATGGCGATCGGGTGACGCAGTGTGACGCCGTACGTCCCACATGTGGAACTGTCTCCTGCAAACCCCATACTGACTCGTTTTCTTCTGTACGCTCGTAAATAGTTTTTGAGGCACTAAAGAAATGCTGGAATAACCTCAGTGCATGATGCAGGCACGCACTGGATGGTGGAATGTACCCGTAATACAAAAATGCGGCGGTATAAAGTGCTTGTGGATTTGCGAATGAGAATTTCGTCTGTAATGGCGAATGCCGTGTGCACACATGTGGCAAGTCACTGCCAGGAAGAGGATGCATATGCACAGTATGGTTGGAGATGGCAGATGAAATGCTCCATGCTGTCGGCTGGTTGACTTGTCCCCAGAGGCTGCGGAAGTTTTGCGATGTGACGTTGGTTGATACTGGAGACGTACTTGAACTAAGCGTCACGGACAGGGCGGCTAACCTTCGCAAAGCGGTGGTGCATTTGGTTGAAGTAAAAGCGCGGGCCTGCAGCCTTGGATCGGCGCGGTGCAACACAGAATTGAGGATTCAGGAGAGGCTGGAGGTGGTGATGTCAGAGAATAGTGATTTATCCCTCTACTGCACTACCCGGCACTGTAGTGATTCTAGGCCGCTGGACGTGGATGACTGGTGTCATCGGTTAATCGGACCCTCGTGTCCCAGAACGTCGAGGGGTGGACTGCCAAATGATGCA